TCACGGGAGGGATCTCTGCAGCAAAGGGAAAATGGGGCGCCTCCCTCCTGCCTCCCAAGGGCCAGGCTGTCGTGGCCCCGGGGAGCATCCGTGGGTCTGCCTGGCCAGGGATCTCGGCCTCCTCCTCTCCTGGGAGCGGCAGCCACAGGTGGGGCCCTGCAGAGCCGCCCCCATGCGACGTTTGCTCCAGTGCGGGCTTCCCCCTCTCGCTTGCACACTTGCTGCTGAGGGGCCCCAGGCCCTTGTCCCAGAAAGCTCGGTCCTTTACCCGGCGTGCAAGTCCCATGAATCACACCAGGTAGGTGGGAAGGAATAAAGCTTTATCTGCAAATAAAAGGTGGCCAGTAGTAACTTCCCGATGGGCGCACCCCTGCTTGGGGTGGACCCTCTTTTACACAATTCTGAGCAACGCACAGACTATAACCCAGTCGAAAACCATCCGTTCGGTCCAGCTGAGGGGGGACCAATGAGCAGGAAGTAACATGGTTCATCCGAGATACTTTATTTCACCAAACATTCCTGAGTAACTTGGCACCAGGGTCCCATCCATCACCTGAACTGACCGCCCTGCTCAGGACCTCCTCAAGTTGGGGCTGGAGTGGGGAGGAATGGGGATATGCGTACATGTGTGGGGAGCTTTGGGATGTCGTGGACACATCTGTGCAGGTTCCTTCGGCAGCAATATGGCGGCCTTCGGGCAAGTTTTGGGACTGCAGACCTGGGACCTCCTGGTGGTCCCCCATCCACAGCTACCACGTCCAGCCCTGCTTGGGTGTTCCGGACCAGCCAAGGAGGACGCGGTGCTGCCACTTCTGTGCCTGGTGGGTTCCCCGTCCTTCTCGTCCCCATCATTGTTCCCCACCTGGTGGGATGGGGAGCACCCAGAGCCCCAGGCATGGCCCCCATCCCACCTGCATGCCTCACGGCAACCTACCTGCCGGATTCACCCATAAACTCAGTTGCTTTTTCTACCCAAAATAAAGCTTCCAATTAAATGAAGGGAAAATTACATGTGAGGGTCCAGCTCACATATAAGACAGTGGAGCTCTTACCTGGAATTCATTATCAGGCCTCACTATTAACTTTTTAATAAAGGCAATATTAGCATTTTAGCATGGCATCCCTGCCTCCTTTTCAAGTTCAAGAAACCATGTTTTCCTTTTAGCCAAAATCTGCAAAAACTAGCCTTTTTGGCAACTACACAACAGAGAACGTTTTCTGAAAGTCCTTGAATTCGCCAGTTGTAAGAAAGGGAGTAACATAACCCATAAATATGCCACTTGCAGAATGTTATCTAGAATCAATGTTTTCTATTGTTCAATCCTCACAATGTCTTTTATTGTTTGATTATTTGCTTTCTGACACATCACATATACCGAATGTATGTATCATTTGTTTCTGTACTCTATAAAAGACTTGACTGCCCTTAAGAAATCCTTTTCGCTTTGCTGGAAATCTTTGTGATTCGTATTGCTGGGTGGGGGCGAAAAAGCCACTTCTGCAAAAGGTAAAAGTCCCCTTCTCTCCCCAATTCAGGGAAATGGGTTCCTTCAGCTCCACGCCCCTCGGGGGGCCTGAGTTTCTAGGCAACAGAGCCAGAATGCTCTTGGATGGGGGAAAGAGACATTTGGAGAGCAGATTTGGAGACCAGACTAGCTAAAGGGCGTCTGTTTTTCCCCACACCACATTTGCGGATACTGGAATCCCTTTTCACAATATTTCGGGGGGACTCTGAATTGTCCAATTTCTTCTTCTGGCTTAGAAGGAAGTCCCCAGAGGCTCAGGGTAGACGGTGAGGCTTGACCTTAGTTACAAATATCCACTTGACCTCAAACGGAGGAAAAGCCCAGCATTGCAACGGTGGCCAAAGTTCATGTCTCCCCC